TGTTGAATGTTTGTCTGTGATTTGTGCATATCGAGATCCTCGTGGGTTCCAACAGGGTGTCACATGCTAATGCCAAGTTTATTGCTGAAAAGTACAAAGAAGGAATATGGACAAACCCTGGGTGGCCAATAGAGTCAATGATGTTCATCTTGCAAAGGGATTTGTCTCTAGTTTTCAATAGTCAGCAACTCTCTAAGGCTAAAAGACTTGTGCTTTCAAAGGGTGTTGGGTGTGATATTGAGCAATACACCATGTTATGGAGTTATGCTGAGGAGCTTAGGAAAACCTACCCGGGGACAAACATAAAAATTAAATGCAAGCTTCAGGGTGACCATGCAGTGTTTAAAAGGTTTTATGTTTGTTGGGGGGCATTAAAGAGAGGACTTTTAGAGGGTTGTAGGCCAGTTATTTTTCTTGATGGTTGCCACATTAAAACTGCATGTGGGGTGGTTCTTTTGACAGCAGTAGGCATTGATGGAAACAATTGTATTTACCCTTTTGCTTATGCTGTAGTTGAAAAGGAAAAAAACAAAATCCTGGTGTTGGTTTATTGAGTTACTAGTACAGGATTTGGGGATTGAAAATCCTTTTCATTGGACAATCATGTCAGATAAACAGAAAGGGTTGGTTGAGGCAGTTGATAAAGAGAAAAAAAAAAAGTGAAAATAGCTATTTTCACCCCGTTTTGAAGTCTTGTTAAGTTTTTCACATCGTCTAATAAAAAACTAAGTTTTTCACCCCAGAAAGTGCGAAAGGCATTGTGCGATGAATATGCGACAATTGCGCGATGACATTGTGCGAAAGTTCAAAGGGCGAAGGCATTCGCATATCCCTTCGCACTTTCTGGGGTGAAAAAAAGTTAAAGTGCGAAGGCATTGTGCGATGAATATGCGACAGTTATGCAATTGATATGCGACAGTATTTCGCATAACCTTCGCATATGTGACAGTTATGCGATGAATATGCGACAGTTTTCGCGTAACCTTCACACTTTATGGGGTGAAAAACTAGCTTTTTATTAGGCAGTGTAAAAACTTAATGTGTCTTTGTACTGTGGTGAAAGAGATTTTTGAGAAAATTTTTATTTGCCTCCTCAAGTGTACGGTTTTTTTCACTTTGCCTCCTAAACATTATTTTTCCATAACTTTGCCTCCTGAACTTTACGCATTTTTTTCATCACCATCCCACTCAACCCTCCCGTTAAACCTCTATTAACTCGCATCCCCAATTTCCCATTTTCATTCTTCTTCAAACCCTAACATTGAAATCCCTAAAATCTCAACTCCGAAATTCCCAAATTCCCCTTCAAATTTTATGATTTTAGAGATTGAAATACTCAAATGGGCTGGAAAGTTCGAAAAGAGGGTGACAATGGCGATGCCCCCGACAGAGATTGTTCCTCTTCATCCGAGTTATTCACTATCAGATTGCACCATTCTGGTATGTTTGTAAATTTGGGAAAAATATGTTATTTGGGTGGTGATGTTGCTCATATAGATTACTGCAATGTTGATGAGCTATCATTACTTGAACTGAAGTGTATGTTTTATGAAGTAGGAATGAAAGAAGTCTTTGGTTTTCATTGCAGTAAAGGTGGGGTAAATGATTGTTCTGATTTAATGGTGCTTGAAAATGACTCTGATGTCCTAAATATGGTGAATTTTCTTGATGTCAATAGAATGGTTGGAGTTTTTGTTGAGCATGAAAAAATGGTGGATCAAGATAGTCAGTGGATGAAAGATTTTGTGGGTAGTCCATCTCATGATTTACCAACAGTAGATGAACCTTTACAATTTGTTGGTAAGAATGCAGAAAACATAGATTTAAATGTTAATGTGGTGCTATCTGATTTAAATGAAAGTGATGATGATCAATCTGTTGAGCCAGACTCTGATTTTTCTGAAAGGTTCTTGGATAGTGAATGTGAACGAGCTTCTGATGATGATGAGTTGTTTGACTTGCATGTTGATCAAGAGGTTGAAATGGCTGGGGTAGACTTGAATAATGAAGTGCAAATACCTTAACCTGCAGAGAAAAGTAGCAAGCCGAATAACTCATCTAAACTACATAATGGTGGTCCTGTTTTTGATCCTAGTACAGACATGGTCAACCCTGCTTTTGAACTAGGAATGCAATTTAGTGATACTGCCACTTTCAAAAAAGCAGTCAGACAACATGCAATTAAACAAGGAAGGGACATATCTTTTAAAATTAATGATAAAAATAAGGTCCAAGTTAGGTGTAAACATGAATCTTGTCCTTGGTTAGTTTATGCCTCTAAAGCTCAGAATGAAGACACAATGATCATTAAAACTCTGTCAAGTAAGCACAAGTGTCCTAGGGAACAAAGGGTGTCACATGCTAATGCCAAGTTTATTGCTGAAAAGTACAAAGAAGAAATATGGACAAACCCTGGGTGGCCAATAGAGTCAATGATGTTCATCTTGGAAAGGGATTTGTCTCTAGTTTTCAATAGTCAGCAACTCTATAAGGCTAAAAGACTTGTGCTTTCAAAGGGTGTTGGGTGTGATGTTGAGCAATACACCATGTTATGGAGTTATGCTGAGGAGCTTAGGAAAACCAACCCGGGGACAAACATAAAAATTAAATGCAAGCTTCAGGGTGACCATGCAGTGTTTAAAAGGTTTTATGTTTGTTGGGGGGCATTAAAGAGAGGACTTTTAGAGGGTTGTAGGCCAGTTATTTTTCTTGATGGTTGCCACATTAAAACTGCATGTTGGGTGGTTCTTTTGACAGCAGTAGGCATTGATGGAAACAATTGTATTTACCCTTTTGCTTATGCTGTAGTTGAAAAGGAAAAAAACAAAATCCTGGTGTTGGTTTATTGAGTTACTAGTGCAGGATTTGGGGATTGAAAATCCTTTTCATTGGACAATCATGTCAGATAAATAGAAAGGGTTGGTTGAGGCAGTTGATAAACTTCTTCCAGGTGCTGAGGTAAGGTTTTGTGTCATGCATTTGTATGAGAACTTTAAGCTTGCATATAAAGGCCTAGCCCTTATGAACCTTCTTTGGAAAGCTGCAAGGGCCACCATGGTTTTTGATTTTGAAAATGCAATGAAAGAACTGAAAGAGAGAGATCCTGTTGCATATGATTGGTTGGCAGATAAGCCCCCTTCTCAATGGTCAAAATCCCATTTCAGCACTCATTCTAAATGTGATTTTTTGTTGAACAACCTGTCAGAATGTTTCAATAGCATGATTTTGAGGGCTAGATCAAAACCTATTATAAGTATGCTAGAATTTATAAGAGTCATGCTCATGTAAAGGATCCATAAAAGAAGAGATATGATGTTGAGGCGTACTAGGGACCTTTGTCCTAAGACTGAGAAGATACTTGAGATGCATAAAAAGAAAGCAATGGACTTCATACCACACTGGAATGGGAAAGATGAGTTTGAGATTGAGGGGTGTTTTGGCTCAACCAATAAAGTGCACCTTGGAGACAAAACATGCAATTGTAGGAGGTGGCAGCTGAATGGAATTCCATGTTCACATGCCATTAGTGCCATGTATTACCTTGGGCATAAGCCAAAAGAATATGTGGATATATGCTACAAAAAAAATACTTTTTTGAAGGCATATTCCACTATGATGGGAGCATTGAATGCTGTTGATCTATGGCCCAAGGTAGATGTCACCCCACTCATGCCACCAGTGTCCCAAAAGCTTCTAGGAAGACCCAAGAAGTATGCTAGAAGAAAAGAAACATATGAAAATTGTTCCCAAAAGTCCTCTCACACACAGACAAAGGCAGGTGGAATTAGGTTGAGAAAAAAAGGAGCTATCATGAAATGCAGTGGGTGTGGAGATGTTAATCACAATATTAGAGGTTGCCCAAGTGTTAAAGATAAAAGGGAAAGGGAAATCCTAGCTGTACATGAGATTAATGCCCCTAGTGGACATGTATTTTTCTATACAATTTGTTGAATTAAATCTATGTTCATGTTTGTATTATTTTGTTTCAGGTCAAGAAAAGACCATTCAATGGAAATGGAAAGAGAAAAAAACTTGTAGCAAAAAGGAGCTCCAAGACAAATGCTGAAAGCAATCAAACAACGAGTTCTTAGTTCATTCAAGAACATTGTAACTTTTGGTTTTGATGACTAGTGAAGTGCTTTTTAGTTTTGTTGGAAGCTAGTTTTGGAATGAGAAACTATTAGAACATTGGCATATGTGTCTGATTGATGTAAACTTTTGGTTTTGATGAAACACTTGTGCTTGTACTTTTGATTTTATGCAATGCAATTGGTGAAGCTTTTGAATAATCAATTTACTTACTTTAAACTGATTTATGATAGTTTCTTTCTGAATATTCATGAGAATGATAGATGGTGTGATTTGAGGTTTTTGTGTATGTGTATATTTGAGGTTGGTATTGTATTATGGTGAAGCTTGTTATCCATTTGAGGTTTCTGTGTATATATGAGAATGCATTCCCTTAAATGGATATATATATTCATGTTGTCATGATTAACTAAGTCCATTAAATTTTTAGCTGCCATGTTTATGTTGCATGCATATAGACATACATTGCAAAAGAATTATTTCCAAGCTGCAAAAATTATTGGGAAAATTATTTCACTACTCATTGTTCACCAACACCATTGCATTAAATTAGAGCAAAGAAATACCAACACCAGTATACCATCACACAAACATGACATAAAGAAAAAAAAGGTACTTCATTGCATTAGAAAAAAAGATTCAATCCATGAAACAACTACATACTCATTGTTCACTACTTGATTGCATCAAGAAACAACTACATACTTATTGTTCACTCAGTGCTTCTACACTGCAACATTAAACAACTTCTACTTAAAGAAAAACATCAACAACCATGAAACAATTAAACAAGCCACAATATCTTCTCCCTGCGACGTCCACGACATAGTTCACCCTCAAGAATGCTCACTCTTTTCACAAGGCCAAGAATAATTTGTCGAGCCCTTGCACAAATCGGTGGATCAATCCAACAACGGTATGTACAACCTCCAACTTCCTAGTTATCAAGAAAAGAAAATGCATCACCAAATTCAAGCTAACAAAAAGAGGAGAAAAATACAGAAATGTGGAAATAAATAATGGGATAGATACTAAAATATCCCCAATTAAATTAGGAGTTTCAATAAAATTCTGTAGTTTTTCAACATCTTTGATAAGCAAATTGGACTTACCCAAAATTTCTCGCAAGTTGAGTAGCGTCTTCCTGGATTCATGTCGGTCCAAGAGGTCTTCTTCACAACACTCTTCCCACAATGACAAAAATCATCCATAATAAATTCAGATATTTGTGTCCACATGATTTCA